AACATATTAAAGTGTCTTTGGTGTTTCCATGTTTTCTACAAAACAAAACCGGAAATCGAGGGGTTATGACGTCACTGACAGGTGACACAATGGACACGCTCCCTGTCACTAGTTAAAATTGCTTATTTCTCTGGATTTAAACATTCTTTGAAACATTTGGGATAATGTAAGTACACAGGTCAGCAAAATATATAACACTGTTCTAGAGGTTTTTGGATATTTTAATTTTAAAAATCGTACATATTGTGCCTTTAAAACAACCCTTTTCTTTCACTATACTATGAGTCCTTTTAAAATTGTATTTATTCCTGTGATACAAAGCTGAATTTTCAGCATAATTACTCCAGACTTCAGTGTCTGTCTTCTTATAATCAATGCTGAAAACAGTATTTTTGTGGAAACCATGGTACATTTTTTTTCAGGATTCCTCGATGATTGGACAGTTCCAAATAACAGCATTTGTTTGAAAAGAAATATTTTTGTAACAAATCTTTTTAATACATCCTTGCTACATAAAAGTATTTATTTAAAAACTACTGGAATATATGTAATATCTCACCTGAGGTTGAAAGTCGACTGGTTCCAGACCCCGACACTCAAACTGGACAATTGTCTTAAACCTTTCACTGTCTTCTGCCTTTAGAAGAGAAAATACATCGGCAACATAAAAAAATGCATATATGCAACTATAAATATTCATATGCATCTGCATTATTCACTGTGCATTGTGGCTTATAAAGTAACAAACAAAAAAATTAATTTATTCTGTCTTACATTGTAAGGTGTAATTGTGTCCCTCAGGATATCTGGAAACAGTCAGACATCCACTTAAGTCCAATAAGACATTCATGTACACTTACCCAACCAAAAATATAAAAACACCAACAGAGAAGATATTATTGTGCAACTTTTTGGCCATGTGTAAGCATTTTATCAGCACATTTACTAGCTAGTAGGTTGGTTACCAATGGAGTTTTCCCGAGAACACAGTTTGCACTTCTGCACCATGCTAGCACTCCCTCGTCCTCCTTTCAGTGGCATGCTGTCCTGAAGTGAGGAAAGGACCAGCCGTCACTATACAGACGTTTCTATGCACTCAATTTAGTAAACATGAGTCACACAAGTGCAAAAGTGCAGTGTATCAGTGAAGGGGAGGTTTTGAATGAATAAAACCTTAAATATACACTGAACAAAAATATAAACGCAACACTTTTGTTTTTGCCCCCATTTTTCATGAGCTGAACTCAAAGATCTAAGACTTTTTCTATGTACACAAAAGGCCTATTTCTCTCAAATATTGTTCACAAATCTGTCTAAATCTGTGTTAGTGAGCACTTCTCCTTTGCCAAGACAATCCATCCACCTCACAGGGCAAAAACAAAAGTGTTGCGTTTATAATTTTGTTCAGTGTATAAAATCATACTGTTTTTAAACCGCGTGAGGGTGACAGAATTTTAATTTCTTAGTGAAATATTTATTTCATATGCAGTGCGACAGTCTTGTACTTTGAAATTATTTTAAAAGTGATTTTTCAATTATTTTTTACACATTTTGCAACAAAAAGTAAACCAAAAAATGACATAAAAATGCATTTAAAAACTGCCTTGGAGAAAGAAAAATAAATGTAAACTGCATTTTATGTCTTTTTTGAGAAATAATGAAAACACAGCACAATGAAAATGAAAAATCACAATGAAAACTGCATGTTTGTTCCCTTTTCGGTGTTTTATTGAAATATTATTTATTTTCTTGCGAAATGTAATAGAAACATTCCTTTTTAAAATAGTAATGATAAACATATCGTCACTGCTAAAAGCATGAAAACATCTTGCAGCAATACTAGTAGATGATGCAAACCAGTTATTGGCTATATTTTCCACACTTTGCAACCTACCATTAAGGTGATATACTGCCATTTATCCGACACCTCACCACAATTCCCACACTTCAGCTGCAAGCACAGGAGTCAGTTATTAGACTAAATGACATGCCATTAAATCACTTGGACAGTTTTCAGTATAATTATCCAAGTGTACATTATCAGTATTCATCACATTACGAATGATACTAAGTCTATATAGTTATAGATCCTGAAAAGTGATTTCTCAATTGCCATAAAAACAGTGAACTGCTTAAAGTATAAGTATTTCCGGTGAGCAAAATAACTGTCTGTTAGTAACGTTACTGTCAGGCCACTGACAGCATGTCACACGAACACACTTTACCTTTAAATACCAGCGGAAATCATCCCCCACCGGCCTCACGTTTGTAACATTCTCCAAAGTGGCTTTAAACTGCAATCCAAATTTCTACAGATAAAAAGAAATAGTTAGTGAAGCGGCTATTCATTGATTTTTTTCTCCCCAAGTATCCAATGCTTTTATAAACATACCCCCATCTTGAGCCACGCCTCTTCTGCTATACGTCATCCAACTGCGTATAAAGAGCGCGACGGATGCCACGATAGCAGCTCCGCCTAGCGGACGTGCGGGGTATTACAAGGATGAAACGAGGTGAAAGAGTGGAACAAACAAACGAAAACTGTGTATGGTTTTATTATTTTATTCCACCAAAACGTTATGGATAATTCGTCAACAAAACCAGATGTAAATAATTAATCCAGTGAAAAATTCGTAGAAAAATACGTGCCAGAGAGGCACGAGGGGGAAAGTAAACACAGGCTTATTGAAGTAGGTTACTAAAATAAGCGTAATTCAAGTAATCATTTTTCTGGTGTTAACAGTAAATGTGTTTGAGGTATTTAATGTATTCCCTGATTGTATCTGAGGGGAGCAGTAATTGGGGATCAGGTATAATTAGGGTAAAATACTCTGTATGCACACTGAGATATTGTGGTCAAAAAGAAGCACCATTACTTGTAAAACTGTAATATTGTCAACAAAATGTGTCGCGTCATATGCACAAAACACTACAATTGTAAGAACCACAGCAACATTGAGATTCAACTAGAAAGCTACAAAAAAAAAAAACTATATAAAATGCTAGTGTGCCATGTTGCCATCATTACAAAATCACACATAAAAGGGCCTCAAATATGAGGCACTAGGGGTTTTTTCTTTTGTGGATGGAACAACCCACCCAACCTGAGCTCTGACTTCAAGTATGTATGCAAATAGCACTGTAATCAAAGTTGTCTCTACTTCCAGTCGGAACAAAACTTTCCAAACTATTCATTTATTTTCTGAGTAGCTAAGAAAGCAGATAGACACGCTGACAAAAAAAACATAGCACTTTCAAAACCCTGTAACAGCAAATTATTATCCACAACAACAACATTTCAAATGCAAATAATAGTGACAATAACAAAGGCATTTCAGCTCCTGCATCCCTTCATTGTCATTGGATGAATGGGATGTACACTGTTATTATTCAGTTCCGCCCTCTCCTCAATGGAGGGAAGGGCCACAGTGAGGTCAGTGTGGTCGACTCGACTCAGAGGGCCGTCTTTGTCTGGGGGTTCCGTGGCCGTTCTGAAAACCGTTCTGTCGTTTGGTGAATCCTCCGTTCAGGATATCCTGAATATGCTGCACAATCAGATTAATAGCCACTAAAGAGAAAGGGAGATAAAAGTACTTCAAGTTAAATCTCTCCAGTGTGCATTTCATATCAAATAACTAGTGGCCTACTGACTCACCGTGATTGTCTGCTCCTCTGGGGATGATAACGTCTGCATACTTTTTGGTCTGCAAATATAAATGTTCCAAGATCATTTAGGGCACAAAGAATGGGGAAGCAGATGGAAGGTGTCAAATTAGTATATGCGATACCTTTTCCGACAATAAAGCACAGTTAAAAGCAGCTATAATAATGGAGAAGTGAGGTTTCGTTCATAAGGATACTCACAGGAAGACAGAACTCCTCAAAGGCTGGCTTCACAAAGGTGATGTACTGGTTCAGAACCTGCTCCAACTCTCTGCCTCTCTCACTTATGTCCCGCAACACTGATAGAAACAAGAAAACACAGAGTTAGTATATAGTGCCGAGCAGTTTAACCAAACCTTCACGCTCATTGTACCTCAATAAAGCTATTACTGCTGGAAGTTCAGTGCAAAAGTGTTTTATTACATAATAAAGAACTTTATAATAATCAAGCATATTACATACAAATGACTGGTACTTTATCTCATTAAATTATTTAATGAGTTTCATACATGTTAAATACATACAAAAAGTTAGATCAATTTAACTTAATGTTATCATTATTTTCCTGTTTAACACTGTAAAGCTGCTTTGACAATCTGTATTGTGTAAAGTGCTATATAAATTAAAATGTTTTTTCATTTTTATTAGTTTTTGTTTCTATTGTAATATTTTTCACTTTCAGTTTTAGTAATTTTATTACTTAAACTTACTTTTTCATTTAGCTCCCAAGGCAACCTACCCATTTTTTACAAGTATTTTTAGTTTTTTTTTTAGTATAATGTTGTGGTCACACTAGACTTTGAGCACACAATTTCTTCAGATACTGCACTGATCATAATATGACATGATGCTCGGTTTTCTTATTTAAAAACAAATTCAATATAATAAATAACTCCAAAATGTAAAAATATACAATACAACGTAACTTTCCTGCAACACTACACACCTGTAGCTTTAAAGTTCACGTTCTTTTAATTCTGCTAAGAGGACCTAAGAGGATATATATATAATATAAAAATAAATATAACTATAAAAAAAGTCTGATGAATAAAAAAAAAAAAAATTTACTGGCCAATGCGAATTCTTTTGCCAATGAGAACGGCTTAGAAAGTTCAAAAGAAGCATTAATTTGAATCAGAAATATTTTGAAAGATTGTAAAAGTCTTTATTGTTTTTATCAATATAATGCATCCCAATACATACATAAAATATATAAATAAATAAATATATATATATATAAATAAATAAATATAAAAAAAATATTATATATATATATAAATATTTTTTTTCTATTGGTATTGATAAAAATGAAAATATAAAATAAAAATGCGCAGGTCAGTTCAAACTTTGGAATGCAGCAAAATGCTAAACTTATTTGCATTAATTTCTATTTAACAAAAAAAAGAATTCCGACTTTCAGGTAATGATAATGACCCTAACAACCCAGAGGAAATCACTCTCATTATAATCAGCAAAGCTCATAGATCTACTCTACTTGGGAAAAGAAAGACAAAAAGCACTACTTAAACCAAATTGCAAGTGAAACTGTCAGTCAGGTCATCTACCTCTTCGCGAGAGGCGTGTGTCTGGGTCTGTGTCCACAAACAGCTTCATTTGGAACAAATCTCGAATCTCTTGCGAGTAGAACATGAGAATCCCCTCAAAGAGAACCACATCTGCTGGATACACAGTCACAAACTCATCCTTCCTGTAAGAGGTGTGCAGAACATATGATTCATAATACGTCCAACAGTGATTCACCCACCAAAACACCCAAAATAGCAACTTGTGCAGAGAGAGAGAGAGCAGCGCTGACCTGGAATGGGTAACAAAGTCATAAACTGGGATGTGCACAGCCTCCCCCTGAATGATGTCTTGCAGAGTCTTCATGACCAGCTCATTGTCGAAAGCATCTGCGAATGATGGAAACATTGAAAAACAGATTATCCTCTGTAAGAAACTATTCAAAAAAATGTCATTTGGATCTTTAAAAGGAAGTAGTAGTCCATATGACACGTGTCTTCAGAAACCATATGATAGTTTTGTGTAAGGATTGAACCAAAATTGAGCTCATTGAGTATATTCTAACTTCTGAGTGAACTTTTGACCTCTTTAACAACCCTCAAGACATTCAAGTACCTGGGTGATCGAAGTTGAACTGGCCCTTGAGCGCTTTGGCTTTCTGTTCAGGTGTGAGCTCCCTGTAAAAGCTGTCTTGACTGAGGATGACCACCTGCCGCTGGTGACGGTCAATCTTATCCTGGCCCAACAGCTCCATGATCTTCTCACATACTGAAGACTGAGAGGAGAGGACCCAAAACCACTTAGTAAGTGCTAAACTCTTTAAGCTACCCTCCCAGTTCAGATATACACAAGCTAAAGCCACAGTGGTTGCGTTATTTAACTTATGAATCATTTTTGAGACACAACCTTCTAAGCCCTCGAAATTATCAACATGATCCAAACTTTACTGAAAAAACGGTTTTACACAATCTACTACATGCCTTCTATAAAAGGCCTTTTAGTCTAATTCTAAAGAAACGTTCCCCTTCAGGTCGTGGTCCATGTATTTTTGCTGTGAAATCTTCACTGATTTTTATGAATTTAACATGAAAACTTTAGATTGTTAGTAATATTTAAATATGAACACTTACTGGACTGCAAAAATCCATGTCATTATTTAGAATGATCGTGTTAAAATGCGAGTATTAAATATGCTATTTTTGAGGCATGTTTATTTGTACATCTCTCAATCATAATTGCATTATGTTTTACCCCACAGAATTAAAACTACAGAGATTTGATCACAAAACTAAGCTTTTAAATGTCATCTTGCTAAGGCATATTATTGGGAGATATAGAGTGAAAACTGATATTCATATGCAAGTAGTCTGTTACACTGATCTCCATATTCTCTTATATCATATTACATGAGGCCTAAAAGCCTGGTGCATCAAATATGATACTCCCACATATGCACATTTTTAAATAATTTGTCTAAAGATTCAATAAACTAGATAAATAAGCTTTTCTGACTATTATTTTATATGTTAAAGGAATAGTTCGCCTGAAAATAAAAACCGTGTCATTTACTTGTCCTCATGTTGTTCCAAACCTGTATGACTTTCTTAGTGTTTTGTAGTCCATACAATGGAAGTCAATGGACACCAACACTGTTTGATAACAAACATTCTTCAAAATATCTTTATGTTCTGCACAACATGAAAAAGGGGAGCAAATTTTGGCGAACCACCCTTCTAACTTGTACTATAGACACTAGTGTGTCTGCAGACATGTGCTGTGAACTCTGGGGTGGGTCACGTATCCCATGTAAGGAAATCCAGCGGGGAAGCATGGCCTCCACTCAGCTTTTAAAATCTGGGCTCAGTTATATTTGTCTGGATGATAGACAGACGTTTTGAATCCGCCAATAATGGGCGACCCTTCAGAGCCACTGAGCATAAAGCAACCACATTTTGACAGTAAGTAACATGGTTTCATTTGAGCATAACTGGGTTTTCACAAGCTCAGTGGTAATAGTTTAGCGGTGGAAGTGAAGTTTCCTGTACATGAAGGTCAGCGGAAGATTACTGAACGCTTGTTACTAAAACGGGCTCGTTAGGCCAATGTAAACATCCTCCGCGGTTATGACGTCACGTTCCTGCAACTTTCCTTCGCCTATATGGAGGAAGAGGCACTTTTTTCTCATTTTTAACAGCTACAACAAACCACTTTTAAACCGGCATGGCAACTAATAAACAGAAGTAAACTTCCAATGTAGACATTCGAGGTCGCTTGCAAGCAAATAAACGACAACAGGACACGCGGTGATTCAAAATGCTGCGCCACGTGGAGACAAAACATGACGTTATCGACATTTAGAACGATTATAAACACGAATCTGGACAAATCCTAACGGAATAATGAAAAATATTAATTGTCGGTTAGTCCAAGTTTCAAATTATTTTCGCGCTTTAGAAATTCTCATTGTTTCCAGTAATGAAGCAAAGGATTTTACAAATGACAAAAATGTATAAAGGTTTTAAATTACATGTATAGGTTTTGACCTATAAGATATATGGGCGTGTGAATACATTTGAAAACCCCATATGTTGTGTTTCTAAAATAGCTTTCTTGTATAGTTCATTATGAGCTGGCTAGAGCCACGCGCTCGCTGGAGGCACCGGCGTCACAGAAAACCCCCGTTAACCTACATGATGATAGCGGAGTCTGTACGGTTACCGATAAACACTCGTAAAGCTCAAACCTTTCCGCTAGCGGTGCCTCCAGCCACACCGATGAGGAACGGCTGTCGGATGTCGTGTTCGTTCTCCGCTCTGTCCTTAAGATGTGTTTCACTGTCGCCAGCCATGCTTGCAGTGGGAGCACAAGAGTGTATGTGTCGCTGTTCTAATAATACACACACTCTCAGCGCTCCTCCTACTGTTCGCTCACTGCTTTTTCCACAAATAAAATAATGCAGAACTTGCATGGCAAGCTGTTCTCTTCTTCCGTTTAGTCCTGTTTATACATTTCAATTTACCCGTATTTTATATATATATATATATTTTTTTTTTTTTTCAGCTAATATTTAAAAGTACCATTTAAATAATCTTTGTTTATGTGTTCTTTCTTTTTACTTAAGTAAATGAATATATTCATATATCTCTAAATACAAGTCCCAAAATGGCATCACATATGAAAAAACAATATTAACAAAAGCAGAAAACAGATTCTGCCTCAATTAAAATATATGGAAATGTTGGCCAAAATGGTAGGTTTATTGACAGGGAATTTCCGATATCCCCGTATGAACATTTACCCTATAAAATAAAATGAGGGGCAATGACAACATATTCCAGTGATTTATCATATGTATTACCATTATAACATTCCGTTAGGTTTATTTCACAGTGATAGAAACTTTACAAAATAAGCAGGTACTGTCATATTTAGAAGCAATAAGGTTCACTGCATATATTTTATGTAATATTTTTAAATTACATTTACTTTTCTTTAATTTTTCGGAATCGTCAAATGACATCACCAAGAAGAAGCCAATGAGAGTCGCTCTCGCGTATAAGCCCCGCCCTAAAATGCTCGAACATGGCTGGACTGCTCCGCAATCTTCTTCTTCAGACTTGCAGCAGGAGGTGAGTGAAGTGTCTGTCTGTTACTGCGAAAGCTTTTCTTACTAACGTTAGCATTTTCAATCTTAAATGCAACACTTGCTATGTGGGAGGTTGCATTTAAGCGGACGGCCGATGTTGTTGCTTTCGACTTTTACAGCAAAAACATAGTCATGAACTTATACAAATAATTTGAACTTTTATTATTATTATTATTATTTTAAATCTCTTCTAATTTATGCTTGACTGTTTTATTTTTATTGCTGTAACTATGTTTTGGTGCAAAATCTGAGAAGGTCCGGTTTGTTGACACTCGTCCAGGGGGTCAAAGTTCAGTGTTAGGCATTTGAAGATGGCCCTGCTGAGCTCTCTCCGGACCCCGGGTCTCTGTGGGGCCCTGTACTACACCGGGACCAGGAGCATATCTTCAGGAACCCTTCATATCAAAGATTCGCTGAACTTCTGGAGTGGTGGCCGAGTCAGCCTTAAAGATGTGAAAACCAAATCCGAACCCGTATATGAGCCTGCAACAGGTAATGTGTTTATGAAACTAATTTCCTTAATTTCACCCCTTCTAAGCATTGCCCAATCAATCAGACTTTGCCCCATGCGATGATTACAGTCACATCTGGCTACGCATATACCATTGAGTTCCTCAATACACCATGTTGTTCTATGAAAAAACATTATCATTCATCTCTGATCTTTATAAATGTGTCACAGGTCGTGTCTTGTGCCAGCTACAAGCTTGTGGTGCCGCAGATGTTGATGCAGCTGTCAGGAGCGCCAGTGCTGCTTTTACAGTGTGGAGTAAACTGGCAGGCATGGAAAGAGCCAGAGTCATGCTAGAGGCGGCTAGACTCATTGGGGTAGACCGGAATGCATTGATCAGGCATCCTGACACATTACATAACAGTGCTGCATTGATTCAAGTCGTGTTGAGTCTGATCTTTTCAGTTATTTCTGTTGCTGAGAATAGAAGAGAAGAGAGGAGATTGCTGAGATAGAGGTCGTCAACAATGGCAAGTCCATCACCGAAGCCCGTTTAGATGTGGACTCGGCCAGACTGTGCATTGAGTATTTTGCAGGACAAGCCACCACACTTTCAGGTTAGTTGTTTTGCCATTGAGCATTCTCATAAGACACAGACACAATTTGAAAACTTCATTACTAAAAAAAAATTACACTGCCAGTCCAGAGTTCATTATAATTAAGATTTTTTTTTATTATAAATGCTTCCACAAAAATATTAAGCCACAAAAACTGCTTTCGACATTGGTAATTATAAGAACCATTATTAATTATTAAACATTAATAATAATTTATAACTGAACAGCAAATCAGCATATTAGAATGATTTCTGAAGGATCATGTGACACTGAAGACTGGAGTAATGATGCTGAAAATACAAATTTGGCTACATTTTAAAATGCATTTTAATAGAAAACACTTCTTTTAAATGTAATATTTTATAATATTTCTATTTTTGCTGTATTTTTTGTTTATCAAATAAATGCATCCTTGATAAGCATAAGAGACTTCTTTCTTAAATCTTAATTATTACAAACGTTTGACTGGTAGTGTACATACAATTACAATGAAAATGATAGTTATGTTAACTTAGGACTACACAGGTGGGTTTAGGCTATTCTTTCTCAGGTCAGCATGTTCAGCTGCCAGGAGGTTCGTTTGCTTACACTCGTCGGGAGCCGCTAGGTGTGTGTGTGGGAATAGGAGCCTGGAACTACCCCTTCCAGATTGCAGCCTGGAAATCTGCCCCTGCCATCGCTTGTGGTACGTGATATATATATATATATATAAGTTGTATAAGTGTGTTTTAGAACACTGGTATCACAGAACATGTTCCTTAAATATAGGTATCCACCGATAGGCCAATAAATGACGTTATAAATGGACTAATAAAATTTGATATGATTTTCTCATAATAATTCAAATGAAATAATAGTAAAATAAAATAAATCAATTTAAATTCTACAAGGGTCATTCCATGTTAACTCAACCAAACAAAAAAATTTAGATTTTTTTTCTTGGTGAAAGAAATACATAATTAAAGATATTTCTTTTTAAAAGAAAAACGTACCAGCTGAATGCAACGTGACCCACATTTAGTTTTTGATTTATTCAATATGTGTACAATTGAACTGTTTACTCATAAAGCCACATTAAAATGCATTAACAAGAGAAGTCTGTCTTCCACCAGAAAATCTAGCTGAGATATTTTGATATTTTTGAGATAAAATTACAAGATGATAACCTTAAAGGGTTAGTTCACCCAAAAATGAAAATTAGGCTCGCGTCCTGCTACAGACATGAATGATACCTTGAAGCTGTTAAATTTGAAAATGTTTCACCCGGTGCACTATAAAAACATAATCTTTGACCCTAATCCTGGTGAAGAACTTTATTTGTTTAATATCCTCTTTGTTCGCTCTCGGTCTGTCCTAGATCTGTGTCCGACATGATTATATTAATACTCTCCATTCACAGTCTTCTATTACGATTCAATTGTAGGCAACTCTATGGTGTTCAAGCCGTCACCGGTGACCCCGGTGACTGCAGTGCTGCTGGCTGAGATTTATTCACAGGCTGGGGCTCCTGAGGGCCTCTTCAGTGTGGTGCAGGGCGGACAGGAGACGGGTTCTCTGCTGTGTCATCACCCATCTGTGGCGAAGGTCTCCTTCACAGGAAGTGTGCCCACAGGCAAGAAAGTAAGACGACCCGAGCTAATAGTAATAGCTGTCACAGAACTTCTTTGCTTATTGTATGGTTTAAAGGAATAACTCACCCAAAAATGCAAATGTACTCATCCAAGATGTAGATGAGTTTGTTTCTTCATTGGAACAGATTTGGAGAAATGTAACATTACATCACTTGCTCAGCAATGGATCCTCTGCAGTGAATGGGTGCCGTCAGAATGAGAGTCCAAACAGCTGATAAAAACATCACAATAATCCACAAGTAATCCACACCACTCCAGTACATCAATCCAGTTGATCCAGTCGGGCTTGTGAAGTGAAAAGCTGTATATTTGTAAGAAACAAATTCATCATTAAGATATTTTAACTTCAAACAGTTGCTTTGGGCTAAAATGCAAGTTCTCTATCCATAATATTATTTTCTCCAGTGAAAAATAATCATCTCATCTGAATCAAGAGAGAATTATGCACAGATCAAGCAAGTGAAAACAGTCTAAGACAGTTATTAACACATATGAAGGTGGATTTTGATGTGAGAGGACAACAGAGATGGACTTTTTCACTGCAGAAAGCATTATTATGGATTATGAACTTATACTTTGGCCAGAAGTGATGGTTTAAAGTTAAAAATGTCTTAATGCATTTATGAAGTGAAAAGCTGTGTGTTTGTAATAATCAAGACATTAATTGATGGACTGGAGTGGTGTGGATTATTGTGATGTTTTTATCAGCTGTTAGGACTCTCATTCTGACGGCACCCATTCACTGCAGAGCATCCGTTGGTGAGCAAGCAATGCTACATTTATCCAAATCTGTTCCGATGAAGAAACAAACTCATCTACATTTTGGACGGCCTGAAGATGAGTACATTTCCAGAAAAGTTTCATTTTGGGGTGAACTATTCCTTTAATCTAAGTTGGGTTTATTATACCAGACATTATACAGTACACTCTATTGAGAAAGTCACTAATAGTAGTTGTAATGGAAACTATCCTGGAATGCATTTCCTTCATTCAAATGCACATTTTGGCCCAACAGATAATGGAAATGGCTTCCCGAGGGGTCAAACCAGTGACACTGGAGCTCGGTGGTAAATCTCCACTGATCATCTTTGAGGACACTGACCTAGAAAATGCTGTCAGAGGAGCACTCATGGCCAACTTCTTGTCTCAAGGCCAGGTACTGTACTGGAAAGTCAAGTCAAAGTATGAACATACATCTTTTTCCTTTTCTGTTTCATATTCACGAAAAAAAAAAAGATCACTGCGCTCAACTTTAGTTTTGGGTGTAGATCGATCAGTAACATCACTTTCAGATAAGGGATCCACACTCACTGTATCTTCTTGTAATTTATTTTCATTTTGCAACAGAGCAATCGAGAATCAAACATTTCGGCAACAAGCCGCATAACTTATGACTCTTTTTCATATAAAAAATTAGAGCTACTTTTCATCTAGCCATGCTGATATACAGACCAACTGCACAATTACGAGTACAATATTGCTTTAAATTCAAAGTTAAAAAGAACAGCATTTACTTAAAATAGAAACCTTTTGTAACATTATAAATGTTTTACTGTCACTTTTGATCAAGTTAATGCATCCTGGCTGAATAAAAGGATACATTTTTGTTGAAAAAAACTTTTCAACACATTTATTTTCAACAGTTTGTTTGAAATGATCCCTTAGTAATATCAGCCCAATCAGACTGAACACTAATATTAAAAACCCACTCACATTGATGCACATGCTGTTTATGGTCACCTATATTGTGCATCTATAAATATGCTCTTCAGTAGCTCCATATTCATCAAAATATGTATTATTTATACACTAATGATTAATGAATATGTATTTTTTGTATTGCTCACTTGTAGGTGTGCAGCAATGGCACCAGAGTTTTCGTGCAAAGCTCAGTTCTTCCTCCGTTCTTGAAAGAGGTGGCCAGGAGAACTAAAGCCATCCAGATCGGAGACCCTCTGTTGGATGAGACTCGTATGGGAGCTCTGGTCAGCAAACCACATCTGGAAAAGGTGCTGGGATATGTGAAGCAAGCTAAGAAAGAGGTACAAGTGTTGTTCAGAAAATATTCATATAGTAGCATTATTGTATCATTTACTATATGATATGGTTTTAAGTAGTTACTTTTTCTTTATAGGGAGCCAGAGTTCTCTGCGGAGGGGAGCCCTTCATCCCAGCAGATCCTAAACTAAAAGATGGATACTACATGACGCCGTGTGTGCTCGGTGAGTTGAAAAACGGTTGGCAGCTGCTGCTGAGATCATGTGTTTTGGAAACATTCAATGGCCTGTTTTTGTTCTGTTCTTTTCCTGCAGTCCGTGTTGTGTGTTCGTTCATGCGTTTTGTTTTCAGACGGCTGCACAGATGACATGACGTGTGTCAGAGAGGAAATCTTTGGGCCTGTGATGTCAGTACTGTCCTTTGACACCGAGGACGAGGTTCTTCGGAGAGCCAATGACAGCGCTCTGGGTCTGGCTGCAGGAGTCTTTACTAAGTAAAGAGAAAATAATTTTTTTGCTCGCTACCATTCAAACATTTCGGGTTTTTAATGTTCTTGAAAGAAGTCTCTTGTCTTAATTGATCAAAAATACAGTAATACTGTGGAAAAAGTACTACAATTGAAAATAATAGTTTTTTATTTTAATACATTTTAAAATGTAATTTATTCCTGTGATCAAAGCTGGATTTTCAGCAGTCTTCAGAGTCACATGATCCTTCAGAAATCATTCTAATATGCTGATTTGCTGCTCAAGAATCATATCTTATTATTATTATTAATAAAATATAATTTTTTGTAACAATATACATGTCTCTTCTGTTGCATTTGATCAATTGAATGTGTCCTTACTGAATAAAAGTATTAATTTCTTAAAACTGACTCCAAACATTTGAACGATATCGAACGTGTGATTGGGTGTTACTTCTGAAGGTTAAAAAAGCTATACTCATTGCTAATATTTTCCTTTCCTGTCTGTTTCTGACTCACCAGAGATGTTAAGAGAGCTCATCGTGTTATACAAAACCTGCAGGCTGGATCTTGCTTCATCAACAACTACAATATCACCCCTGTGGAGGTGCCGTTTGGAGGATACAAGGCCTCAGGTGGAGTTGCCAAACATTATTTGTCTGTTTGTGTTTGCTCTGTAACATTAAACACACACTGTACTCAAATTTAACATGAGCTTTTTTACCGATTTTAGGTATTGGAAGAGAAAATGGCCAGGTGACCATTGAATTTTACACTCAGTTGAAGACCGTGGTGGTGGAGATGGGTGATGTGGACAGTCTATTTTGAACACGAGCCAGGTGTATTCTGGTTGCAGATCGATGACTGAATCTTACAGAGAGATCTTAAAATGCAAATACCAACATTCTCTAAACACTAACGCACAGCTATTGAAATATTAACTGTTATTGAGTATTAATGTTCTCCACCACTAATGGACCATGTTTCGCGTGCCAACATAATTTCTGTCACGTAATGACAGCTGTCTGTGAATATTTCACAATAAAGTGCCTGTACTGTAGGATACTGTGATTCTTAATGAGCATAAACAATGTAAACTGCATTATTTTAAAGTAACTGTTATTATATTTGATTATTAAAAAGCTTTAATGGGATATTTTGGTTAATGTGCATGTGTATCAGACAATGCTTGTGCTGTGAATATATGCTTTACCTATTCATTTGGTTGAGGAGACACTATGCATGTAATATTTTTTGAACTAATGACAAAAAATGATGCATCATTGTACTAAAAAAGCGTGTGTATTATGAAGGAATATTTCATGTAAGGTAGTGTGAAGTATTGTTTAATTTATGTATATACTCATACAAGCGGCTGATGTGTCATGCATTCAACATCGTTTGTACTACAAACAATAAGTCCAATCAATAAATATATAAATTCTAGAATATGAGGAGGATGAATTCCCCACAACTAATTACCCAGTCAAAAACTTCTACCTGGTAAAAGGACATTTTACTTCCATTAACTTAAAATTTATATATATTAGCAAAAATTCCTTTAAAAAAATCATTTTGTCTGATGTGAACTTGTGGTTTCAAAAGCATTTCTTCTTTTTCCTCCTTGTGACTTTGCTTCGGACACACCTCCTCTGTGCAAATATATAATGGGGAAAAACATGAATAAAAAAAAAAAAAACACTTTTTATCTCTATAAAGAAATCAAAAATACCTTACCTTTGCTATAGCTTTTTTGGGCTGTTTGAACTGTGCGATAGATTCTGCAAAAGGTCAAGACAATAGGACTGTAAAAAACAAAAAAATGGACTACACGTCTCTACCTCCTTCCACTATAGAAAAGTGAAAGCAAAATATCCCAGATATGGCTGCTGTCATCTTGTGAAAAAGTCATCATTTGGTTCCCGAGTCAGCACAGTAGTGATTCATTTGGAGCTAAGTCTGCGCTGTAGTGATCATGAGCTAGAGTTACTGCATCAAAGTCCCACCCAAACTCCCACAGACCCAATCACTAGCACAATCATGACACCACACCCCGTTTTTACAGCATCAAATAATTAACTGAAAGCAAACTTATTATGATACCAAACACTTGAACATACATCAGCATGATAAGAACTACCTAAAATGACAAAAAAACATCTTTTGGGAAGAAAAATTTTTTTTTGGCTTACGCCCCATTTGTTTACATGGAGAGGGCAGGGGTTATGACCTATACTGCAGCTAGCCACTAGATGGCGATCAAATGTTTTGGCTTCACTTTTCAGGATGTGTGCGACACACTTGGTCAGACAAGACCTTCTGAACAAAAACCTGTTTCAGGTACTTACCATCTTCAGAGGGCAGGTCCTGCTCACAGTTTCTGGTCACCTGTCACAAGACAGAGAAACGTTTCATAATCTGAATCCAGTCTGGTAAACGCATATCAAAGTTTATCCTGTATAGCATCTGCTTTATACCGTTTCTGCTTCTCTGATTTGAGAGAGAGAGGGTGTCTCCATCTCCATGTCGTTCTCACTCAACTGGCCTCCCTCCAGCAGCTTCCCAAGCCGGCTCTGTGCTGCCGTCACGCGCAACTTCATGCTGTGGAAGCGAGACTGAATATCGCCCACTCTGAAGTGCACTGCAGTTCCCTCGAACCACAGACTGTCATTTACACCTGCCTTGAATCCTGGTGGCTCATACTCAGGTGGAGTGACTTAAATTGAGACAAAAGCACACCAGTCATTAAGATATTTCACTAAGCACATTCATTTTTCCCTAAAAACATCACTAGTTTGAACTATTCAACAAACTGTCATGAAGACACCGTTCTTATCTACTTCTCTCAACATACTGCAGAAGGATGTAAAGGCAGCATATACTGTACCATCATCATAGTAGTAGAGTTTCATAGTGAGGTAAACGCCAGTGGGCAAAGCCTCTAGATTCTGCATGAGGAGGAACAGCTTCCTGATCAGGAGCGTTGAAGCTTTCTTTGTGTCCTCCAAGGTCACTCTTGTGTCCCCAGTCACATTACTGAAATGAAGAAAAGAGGAAAGGATTAGTGTATGTGAGGTGAATGGAGGTTTAAAATTCTTTTTCTTTTCCTTTTTCCCTATCACATGTTTTTGTAATCATCATAAATTATATATCATTTGAAAGCTTAAAACCAAATTCCAAATTCAAACTCCAAATTCATCCTGTGAAAACCATTTTGAAATCGATCACTGCGTTACCATGGAAATCGTACTTTAACATCTTTTAGCCGGCTCCTCCTCCTTAGTGGGAGGTGTCATAATCCAAATGTATTACGGTCTTTTAAAATCAAAACTTTTCATAATCTTGACAAAATACATATCGTTGGACAGGTCTGAGTCTCAAGATTCCATATTTGGTGGTTATTTTGTCATAGAAGTAATATTGAGAGAGAAATTGATACATTTGTGATTTGAAAGACAGAGAAACGTTTCATCATCTGAATCCAGTCTGGTAAACGCATATCAAAGTTTATCCTGTATAACATCTGCTTTATACCGTTTCTGCTGCTCTGATTTCAGAGAGAGAGGGTGTCTCCATCTCCATGTCCAAGACAGAGAAACGTTTCATAATCTGAATCCAGTCTGGTAAACGCATATCAAAGTTTATCCTGTATAGCATCTGCTTTATACCGTTTCTGCTTCTCTGATTTGAGAGAGAGAGGGTGTCTCCATCTCCATGTCGTTCTCACTCAACTGGCCTCCCTCCAGCAGCTTCCCAAGCCGGCTCTGTGCTGCCGTCACGCGCAACTTCATGCTGTGGAAGCAAGACTGAATATCGCCCACTCTGAAGTGCACTGCAGTTCCCTCGAACCACAGACTGTCATTTACACCTGCCTTGAATCCTGGTGGCTCATACTCAGGTGGAGTGACTTAAATTGAGACAAAAGCACACCAGTCATTAAGATATTTCACTAAGCACATTCATTTTTCCCTAAAAACATCACTAGTTTGAACTATTCAACAAACTGTCATGAAAAAAACGTTCTTATCTACTTCTCTCAACATACTGCAGAAGGATGTAAAGGCAGCATATACTGTACCATCATCATAGTAGTAGAGTTTCATAGTGAGGTAAACGCCAGTGGGCAAAGCCTCTAGATTCTGCATGAGGAGGAACAGCTTCCTGATCAGGAGCGTTGAAGCTTTCTTTGTGTCCTCCAAGGTCACTCTTGTGTCCCCAGTCACATTACTGAAATGAAGAAAAGAGGAAAGGATTAGTGTATGTGAGGTGAATGGAGGTTTAAAATTCTTTTTCTTTTCCTTTTTCCCTATCACATGTTTTAGTAATCATCATAAATTATATATCATTTGAAAGCTTAAAACCAAATTCCAAATTCAAACTCCAAATTCATCCTGTGAAAACCATTTTGAAATCGATCACTGCGTTACCATGGAAATCGTACTTTAACATCTTTTAGCGTGCTCCTCCCCCTTAGTGGGAGGTGTCGTATTCCAAATGTATTACAGTCTTCTGCAATAATCTGCCGATTGTCTTCTTTAAAGAGACCAACCTTAGGTCTGTATTCAAAAGCGTTTATGAATTATAACAATTTACGTTTGAATAGTACACTTTTACGTCTATGTTCAAAAAGTTGACACACAAAAGTGTGGAATCAGTAAGATTTGTAATGTTTTTTTAAAAGAAATCTCTTATTGCTCAGTAAAACTGCATTTATTTGATCAAAAATACGGTAAAAACAGTAAACAATGTACAATACTACACCTCCACAGGATGTCCATCTGTGGTCCACACTCTGAGTATCTGAACTTAAACTGGTAGGACTCAATGACATGCTGAGAAAACAAACACGTAAGAGACAAAACAGCCAGTTTGGAAAAGTTATATTATTAATGTCCACTTTTTAACATTTAGATCCACGCCTCAACTAATATATTGAAAATGTTTCTTTCCAGGTTTGCGTCTAAAATTATTCCAATTTGGGTCCAAAAAGGGTAAACCTTCAGATAAATTTAATAGAAAATATTTATTTTCTTGAAAGAATAATATTCTTTAGAATTTGGCTTTAGTATGATAACAATATAAAAGCCAATTATTTAATGTTGTAACTGTGTACTATTTCACATGCACAGTGCCTCACAGTATAAATGATTTTGAACACAAAAAAATATATATATTTAGGGGTCATTGGCATCAAAAAGTTAAAAAAAAACCTGATCTAAAAACTCAGTGGAAGATTGTAGACTTACATTACTGTCATCTGGGCTTGTGTGTACCTGCAGATTAAAATAAAAAACAAAACAAAAAACAAACAGGAAATGTAAATAATGTGAGGGTTTTTTTGTGAAAAAATATTATAGAATTGAAAACATGCATACTGACCCCAATGACCACCATTTGAAGCTGCAAAATATAAAGATAAATGAAATAATAATTACAAATAAATAAATAAAGAGAAACATGGATTTATATCTAAATATGGTGCTTTTGACTTACATATCTCTTCTCCAATGCATCAAAACTTCCCAACAGCCTTGAAAGACAGAAGTATGGTTATATTGACTTTTTATAGCATTATATTTTACACTTCAATGAAGCATTACAAATATACTTTCAAGAATACATTTGAATATACAAACTAGTGCTGGGGAACGATTAATCGCATCCAAAATAAAAGTTTTTGTTTATATATGTGTATGTACTGTGTATATTTATTATGTACGTATATATAAAGACACACACATACAATATATAATTTGAAAATATTTACATGTATCTATTTATATTCATATAATTTATATTATATATAAATATATTTAATATATAAACATAAAAAAATATATACATGCATGTGTGTGTATTTATATATACATAATAAATATACACAGTCCACATGCATATATTATGTACACAAAAACTTTTATTTTGGATGCGATTAATCGTTGCCCAGCACTAATACAAACATAGCAATTTGCTATACAAAAACAACAGATATAATAAAATTACCATTTGACGAGTTTGTGGGCTTCAGGGCATGAACAATCCTGTTTGAGGACTTTGATACACAAATCTGAAGAACAACATTCATCAAAATTGATTGTATGAGATATTTCAAACGGCCTGATGTTCATCCATTAATAAATCAGTGTGTATACGTATACCTTCCAGGTATCTGGATCTGTAGGAGTCCTCTGGAAATATCCCACGCAGATAGGTGATGGAGGATACAGCTATAACCACCATGCGTTTGACAAAAACCAGTGACTGAGCTTTAGTATCCAGTGCCTGATGAAACACGGGGGCTTAGTTGATGTATAATACTGCTTTAAAGCAGCTTTACAAAGAATAGTGCCTTGAAATCTATATCCACATACGTACATACATACACAGATATTTATTTGAGGACATGTAATTGAGCACACAGTATTTTCATAATAAGCTACATGAAAATGACATGTAATAGAATTATAATTTTGGGGCCTTGAAGGAGTAGTTCACCCAAAAATAAAATTTTGCTGAAAATCTAGGCCATCCAAGATGAAGAGGTTTCTTTTGCATTACATCACTTGCTGACCAGCATTATTGTGATGTTTTTTTAGCTGTTTGGACTCTCATTCTGAAGGCACCCACATTTCTCCAAATCTGTTCAGATGAAGAAACAAACTCATCTTGGATGGCCTGAGGGTGAGTAAATATTAAGCAAATTTTCATTTTTGTCTTAGTATTACTTTAAGACATTACAATTTAAATATTACAATAATATCACTTACCTGCATAGTAAAACAGTTAACGTTACAAAAACTACTATGGTAGAGCGAAAGTATCAGATAGTCTGAAGAACAACATTCATCAAAATTGATTGTATGAGATATTTCAAACGGCCTGATGTTCATCCATTAATAAATCAGTGTGTATACGTATACCTTCCAGGTATCTGGATCTGTAGGAGTCCTCTGGAAATATCCCACGCAGATAGGTGATGGAGGATACAGCTATAACCACCATGCGTTTGACAAAAACCAGTGACTGAGCTTTAGTATCCAGTGCCTGATGAAACACGGGGGCTTAGTTGATGTATAATACTGCTTTAAAGCAGCTTTACAAAGAATAGTGCCTTGAAATCTATATCCACATACGTACATACATACACAGATATTTATTTGAGGACATGTAATTGAGCACACAGTATTTTCATAATAAGCTACATGAAAATGACATGTAATAGAATTATAATTTTGGGGCCTTGAAGGAGTAGTTCACCCAAAAATAAAATTTTGCTGAAAATCTAGGCCATCCAAGATGAAGAGGTTTCTTTTGCATTACATCACTTGCTGACCAGCATTATTGTGATGTTTTTTTAGCTGTTAAATTTTCATTTTTGTCTTAGTATTACTTTAAGACATTACAATTTAAATATTACAATAATATCACTTACCTGCATAGTAAAACAGTTAACGTTACAAAAACTACTATGGTAGAGCGAAAGTATCAGATAGTAAAACCACGGTATTTAAATATATACCATGGGTATATATAAATACCATTAGCTACTACTGTCCTTTAAAATACTAACAATAATGATGAAAGAAAGAAAATATGTTTCTGAAAGCTTCTTCCAAGAAGCGGACTTCATTTCACAGTATACGATAGAAACTACTACAAAGGTTGAACCCAGCTTGGTAGCATGGTAACGTTATATTTTTGTAATTTTTTTTTTTTAGTTCACATTGTAAATGTTATTGATTCTGTATCTCACCTCAACAATCACCTGTTTGTCCTGAGCTAGTGTCTTCTGTCTGGTTGTCATGTTTGAGCTAACTTTAATGTTAACTAGCTTCCTCACAGAGAAATTATTTCCTCAGAACCTGTTATGGCATCAAAAAATAACTCGGCACGTTATTAACTTAACTAATCTGCCGTTGTTTATGTAAAGCAGAGTGTGTTGAACCCAGCTTGGTAGAATGGTAACGTTATATTTTAGTAAGTTTTTTTTTTAGTTCACATTGTAAATGTTATTGATTCTGTATCTCACCTCAACAATCACCTGTTTGTCCTGAGCTAGTGTCTTCTGTCTGGTTGTCATGTTTGAGATAACTTTAATGTTAACTAGCTTCCTCACAGAGAAATTATCTCCTCAGAACCTGTTATGGCATCAAAAAATAACTCGGCACGTTATTAACTTAACTAATCTGCCGTTGTTTATGTAAAGCAGAGTGTTATTTGATAAATATGATCGTTTATTAGTGCCGTGCAAAGAATAAAGCGATGTCGGTTTAAGGTAAATTACGGCGCGGAATAAACGCGCGCAACAGAGTCACGCGGATTTGGCGGTAAACAGAGACAGCGACAGATAACAGCTTGAGAAAGAGGTGTAAATTATTTCTGATTATTAATACTTGATTCATATTTACTAATAAACACATTTATGTACACTACACTACTATATATATATATATATGTATATATGTATATATATATACTACCAGTCAAAAGTTTTTGAACAGTAAGATTTTTAAAGAAGTCTCTTCTGCTCACCAAGCCTGCATTTATTTAATCGAAAGTACAGCAATAACAGTAAATTTTTGAAATATTTTTTACTATTTAAAAAACTGTTTTCGTTGAATATTTTTAAAAATGTAATTTATTCCTGTGATTTCAAAGCTGAATTTTTAGCATCATTACTCCAGTCACATGATCCTTCAGAAATCATTCAAATATTCTGATTTGCTGCTCAAAAAAACATTTTTGTATGCGATTAATCGCGATTAATCGTTTGACAGCACTAGTATATAAACATCTGACATGACATCAGATCCGCAAGCCGATGTGAGACAGGCATAATTAGCCATAACAAATTCTAAAACTGAAAGCATAAGAAAAATTACCTTAACTAAAATAAATAGAAAAAAAAACAAAAACGTATTTTAATTTCAGCTAGTTGCGAAGTCAACTTATTTTCATTTCAAGTAATTAAACTAAACTAAATAAGCTAAAGCTTAATAAAAAGTATAGACATTTTAAAAATAAAGACAAAACTACATTATAAAAATGTAAACATTTGTGTTACAGTTCTGAGCTAACACTATTTCTCCCTCCAGCAAAACTTCTTAAATCTTGTCCCCCAAGAACTAATCAACCTGGGTTTCATGTCATGGGGCTTCTGCCATGTGACTTTCTGTATTTGTCAAAAGTCAAAGGTCACTCAATTCAGTTGGATTTTCCTCAACTTCATGATACATTATGTAACTGCAGACCCTCCCTGACCTCAGATTATTATAATCTTTCAGCCCTATACACATTCACTGAATTGCAATGTCATAACAGGGGTAAGGCGAAGACGCCCCACTTGCATGGGCTCTGGGTCGGTTAAAGGAGACGAGGAGGTGGGAGCAGCACTGGAGGCACCCTCCTCCAACATCCATGAGGATTGAGCTGTCCACCGCTGGCGTCGACGCTGAAGGCACCCCTCAACACGGAGTGCCAGCTCTACAAGGGTGTCAAAATCATGAGGGAGCTCGTGAGTAACGATCTCATCCTGGATGTCGTCGTCCAACCCCTCCCGAAACCTAGCACGTAAAGCCGCCTCGTTCCAGTCACAGGCGGCCGCCAGAGTTCTGAACTGGATAGAGTAATCCGTAACTGAACGTCTGCCCTGACTCAACCGCGCCAACTGTGAGGCTGCCTCATCGCCCTGAGCAGAGCGGTCAAACAGCTTGATCATCTCAGCTCTGAAATCCTTGAATGTGGCACAGAATGGAGCACGAGCGTCCCACACAGCCGTTGCCCAGTCCCGTGCCTTTCCTTTCAGGAGGGTGATAACAAATGCTACTTGGGACTCCTCGGTAGCATAGCGGCGAGGCTGGAGTGCGAAGACAAGCGAGCACTGGGACAGGAAGGCCCGGCAGGAGTTGGGATCCCCCTCGTATGGCGGCGGACTATTAGCATGGGGTTCAGGCTCCGCATGAGACGGAGAATGACCAAACGTAGCAGCTGATCTGGCAGGTAGCAGAACAGATACTGACTGGCAGGATGAGAAGGAGAAGTTCAAAAAACAAAACAGCACTCAGGGCTGAAAAGACACAACACGGCAAGACAAAGCAAACAGGACAAGAAGGTCACGAGCAAAGCGTTGCCCAACATACAACAACGGTCTGACAAAAGACTGAGCACGAGAGGATCTAAAATAGGGAAGGGCTAATGAGGAATGAATGGCAACAGGTGTGACAGAAAACACAAAAGAGAATTAAGGATAACGAGTGGGAGGGGAAAAACACCACACAGACAGCGGAGCACATGGTGAGCTGTCAAAACAAAACCCATGTGCTCGGAGACCAAGCACACAGACACAGAAAAACAAAACACAGCAGATCAGACCGAAGTCATGACAAACATGGCGTAATGTATTAAGATGCTATTAAAATATCAAATTAAATATACAATTTATTAATATAATGAATATGTATATAGTGGCAACACGCACGATTTGTGTTGATTGCAAGTGGCGATTGCAAGTGACTTCGTAATTTAGTTTCTTTTTTTTTGTCTTCACCACCTGGCTACTGTTGTAAAATGTTGAGAGATTCAAACAAAAAGTAATCAATAAATAGAACAAAATAAAGTGTCTGAGAGTGCAAGCCTGAGAATGCACGTCTGAAAGTGCAAGGCTGCAGCTACCTCTTGCAGTGGGAACTGCTTCTTTACATTTTGTCACATGACCACCCAGCAGATGTCGCATTTCTACAACTGATGTTCAGAGGCAAGCAGTTCCTGTGTGGGAACAGAGTCTTGCTATAATACCATTCATAATATTGATAATATTTTAGAACAAATCATCTTTACTGATAACCTTTTTTAAATTACATCCCCTTAATAATTCCAAATGGCAAAAAATGTCACCATTAAAGACTTTTTTCTCCAAAAAGTTTATTATTATTATTATTATTATTATTACTTTTTTACTTTAAGGTGTATTCAAGTTATTGTCTAAATTAATTGCATGCAATGCATTAGAATTTATTTAAAAATCTAATTAGATAATATTAGAAATATATATCATACATGAGTTTACTAATCACACATTAGTCATGAAGGATTCATCTGTAATCTGTGCTGTTGGTTTCTGACATTATAATGCAGGATTATCACTGCTCTGACAGCGCCACGCTGCGCCTCCTGTGGTAGTGAGCGGAAGTACACTCTCACAGCTGATTTGCTCGCCATCTTGACATGAACATAAACATTGATGCCCTCTGCTCAATGATCACACCATTATCTCTAAACACCGAAAAATTGTCAACACGTTACCGAAACAGCCTTAATACTCTGTTGCAGCGTCGGGAAAACACGAACTAAGTTAGATGT